TCGTGCCTTGTTAGCTAAAGCGAAATGAATAGTACCCGAACCTAACTTGGTTGCTTACCAAACGATTGTTGTGATTATGGTTGTCCGGCATAAATCTAGTTCGGTTGAGGATCGGCGCAATGCTGTGGAGAGACGCAGGCTTGTTACTTACACGTCGAAAGACGGGCTCTTAAAAATGGTAAAAGGCACGTATGAAACAGGTTCATTAGGCAGGTTTTATCGTACCTGTACTGGTAAGGTTAGTACTATGTCTCAGACGACTGATGTCGTACATTCACGTAGAATTGAGCTTAGCCTACTTTCTCTGGGCTGGTAACCTGTGTAGCGAAAATACTTCAAGCTACCTGCGAGAAATACTAGATTGCCTTCCAGACGCTAATCCTCAGTGAAAAGCAATGGGAGTTATGTGGGATTCTAATAGCTCACTACTAGCTGTTAGATGAAAACATATAAGGTGTGTACATGCTACTACTTTAGGCACTAACTGCGTGCGAAGCCTCTTGTCAAGCAAGGTGTACACAATGAGCAATTTTAATAGCATTAGATCCTCGTCCAGGGGACTGCGGTCTAGTCCAGGCTTCGGCTATCGACTATTGATTCTTGCGTCTAATGGTAGTAGTACTAGCAATAGTACAGGCTACTGTTGAAGGATCATGACCGGGTTCGGGTACCTTTCTGGCTCGTTCTCGGTTCGGCTTCAGTACCGTTAGTACTGGTCTCTATGCAGGATGCATTCTGTGTAGGCTACTAGCACACTTCTGGCTCAGGGCCGGCTGTGGGCCGGGTGCACTCTTTGGAGTCTGTTCTCCTTGGGTTGCATTCGGTTCCGGTTGGCTCGACGCTAGATTTGGTAGTGTTAGTTCCTATACGGGATAGACCCTGCATAGGAACGAGTACTATGGTTTTAATAGTGCTATTACTAGTATTATACTATATATATACACGCGCGAGCGAACTACATGTTTAAAGTTGATTTCACTAATGCATGTCAGAGGCATGCCTTAACAAAAGTATAAAATTATTTTCCTTAACCTATTTATAATTAAATTCGATTTAGACTGTACTAAACAGTAAATATGTGAAGTACATGCTTATTTTGATTCTTATATGAAAAAAAGGGTTTAAGTCGGTCATTATTATATTAAAATATAAAAAATTTTGCAAAAATTAAATCTTGTGTTAGTTAAGACCCCCACTCGCGTAGTCTTTCGAGTTGACTGTGGCACTTATAATAATATTGACATAAAGAAAGGTACCAAGTTAATCGAGCTACCACAACTGCACCCAAAAGACAAAGCCATAAGACTGTATTAAGCTATACTCTAAAAAGAACCAATGAAAATGAAAGTATAATGATCATAAAATTTTCTTTAAAAGATAAGGAATTTAATCAAACTTTTGGCCCAATATTCTTATGGAAAAAGAATATATTTTATATGTAAAATTACAACCACTTAAAAAATAAGATATATAATTTCTAGCATTCATAACTTTATCTTACAGAGGATCTTAATTCTAGATTTTATCAACTAAATAAAGGCCAAGGGGAAATTCTAGATTTCTTTTCTCTCACTTTTTTTTTATTTTACATTATTCTTTATGTTAATTTACTAACTTTACTTATTTAATTTTTCTTGTTAATTATACATATATATAAATTCATCTATTTTTATTTCTTTTTAATTTAAAATCCTGATAGCCGGGCTATGCAGTTCGTTCGCATCATACACAAATAATTAACTACATATGGTAATGTAGGTATACTTAGTTTCCCACTTGCATCCTTATGTACACGCCAAGACTTTTCATATTTTTTATTGTTGTTGACTGGTTAATCTATGAATGGTTTTCGGGGTGCCTTTGTCGCTAAATTAGTATATATCGACTTGTGAGTTTTGCCTATGTATTTTGTTAGTGTTTCCTTGAAAACAACCTTATGCGCTTTTCTTAGCGAAATTTTTCAACCAGACACTCACGCGCTTTACTCTCTTTTTTCTATTTTTTCGTGAAGCTCAATTATTATTGCATTATTTTTTATAAAATAAACACACGGAAAACGTACTTAAAGTAAGATTAATTACAAAAGTAGTTCTAAGGATTTCGGAAGAGATAAAAGTTTATTGTAAAATTCGTTTATAAAATTTCCCCATATTCTACTTACCTTAACACGGCAATCAAACATTTTTGTGACAACTAAGAAAACCATAACTCCACCGCAATTAGATCAGACTAATAAGAAAAAATGTTATTTAGTTTTTATATGTTTACATTAAAGGTTATATCATAAATATATTTTTTTTATAACAGCTCTTATCGCTTTTAAAATCTATAAACCGTCTAGTTATATTATTCCTCTGGCAAACAATGCACCACTGCGATTTAAAATGACTATGTAAAAGTGTAAACAATAAGCTTTGATTGGAAGAATTAATTTTGCTGATAAACAAATCAAATCATGCTTATTAGTTCATCTCTTAATAGATTTCAGAGTACACTCTAGCAAAAAGTAGTTTTTTTAGCACATAGGAGATTTGCGTTTAGAGTTTTATCACATTCGGTTACCTCATGAAAATGTTAAAAAATAATAAAAATATATATAGTGAACATAATGTAATAGCTGAAGAGATTGAAATACTTCATAACAGCATTTCTCCTTCGGAATCTACCGAGCTTCTACATAACGTTGATGATCAAAATTTAGTAGCAGTTGAGCAGAGGAAAACAGGTTCTTTTATTTTAATGAAAAAAAAGCTGGTGTAATATTTTATTAAATTTTATAGTTTTATTTATAACTGTAAATTTATAATGCATATTCATCACAAACAGATTTTAACTGAGTTTAAAATAAAGCTTAACTCCCTTTGATTCTCTTTATAAACAAATATTTTAGTAGAACTTTTCTTATAAATAAAACTCTTTTTTCTAAATATAAAAAAAATTAAATTATTGAACGTTACTTATACATATTTTTGGATATATACTTTGTTATATGAACTTATTTAGTCATTTTTTTTTTTTAATTTATAAAACTTTTAAGTTCTATGTTAGAATAAATATAAACTTTTTAATATAAAAATCTTTCAGTTTTAATGAATAAGAAACCCCTTACATTATTTTGCTTATCCTTCTTAGGTCTCTTGCATTTACTAATTTTCCTCTTTTTACTTCTCTTTGGACTCGGAAATAGAGTTTTTAACAAAATTCAAACTATTCCAATGAACAATTACCCCCTCTTTTTGTCTATATACACCACATTTATATATATTCCTGCTTGTTTTTTATACATTATACCTGTGCTTTACTGTACATCTTGGATTCCCAAAGGTAATAAAAATAAAGAAAAGTTTATGGTTTATGGCATCTTTAACGGTTCGTTTAGAACAGCGTAAAATCTCTTATAAGAAGTACTCTATAATCGGTATTCTTGATTCCATGACTGGGCTAATGCAGGTTCGATTTCGCCAAAAGTTTTAAAGAGTTTAGATAAGTTTCTTTGTAATGATTTTAAGATTGGTCTTCCTAAAATAATTGTTAAATTTAATTTAATGAAATTTAAATTTATACTAATTTTTTTTTGAAATTATATGTTATTTATAAAATGCTTTTAATTTGAGCATAGAAAAACTTTTTATTTAAACTTAATTTTCTCACCGCTGTTGCTGTAAATGTTGTCTTCACAAAAGTTTAGAGTTAATAATAGTAACTTACTAAATTTATATTTACTTAGGAAAGTAATTAAACAATTTTTTTAACTTAAGTTAATTTCAAAAGTTAAGTTTATTGAAAAAATATTGCTTCTGAATTTGACATGTTTAAATTTTATTTAGAAGAATGAAATCCTATGAACAAATAACAATAACAAAGCAACATACGCAAACTTCATACAAGACTAATTAAGACTGTTTAAAAATATTTTTAAAGTTTATAAATTTGTTTAGTAATTATAAAGAAGAGTTCTACAAATAGTTCGCTAATATTTGCTAGGATTATTTGTTTTTTTAATATTTAATTTAAAAAGGTTTTTCATCTTAAAAGATGTGATTCTGAGTTGTATATATATATATATGCAGTAAAGTAAAATAATATATATAGTAAATAATAACATAATAATCAGCGCTAAGTAAAAATATATTATTTGAGAAGTTAAATAATTAAAATTTAAAATTTTAGATTTTTTTGAAAAGAAAAACATTTTTATAAAAATATATATTATTTATGAAAAATTTAATAACGAGTATCAATATATATATAATAATTTAAGTTTTTATTAAGCTTATTCATTTTTACTAAAAGAAGTTCTAAGTAATTTTTTTTATTAAAGCCTAAACATTTGCACGAGGAATACTTCAAAATTTTTTTTTATTTTAATTTCATTAAGCTTTTTCCCTTAAATTCTATATTAGGTCTAAAGGCTACTAAAAATATGATTTCATATTTAGTTTAATTTAAAAAAGTTTAAATTTTTATAAATCTAAATTATAACCTTTAAATCCTCTTAAACTCAACAAAATTTATATATAAAAGGTGAACTATTTCAAACTAAAAATTCCGTTATACGTAACAAAATTCATATATTAAAGTGAACCACTTTAAAACCTTTTTTCTATAAGCGTCTGCCTTAATTAGCTTAGATGCAACGATCTTATAAATAGATTAGTATTTTTTTACAACGTAATCCAGAATTAATCTCTGAATTTTTTTAATCAAATTTATATATGAAAGTAAACTACAAACTATTTTCTTTTGACTTTTGCCGTAAATATTTTAAATGGGATAATTAAATTAATACTATTTAAATATAATGTAAAATATAAGCCTTAAAATTCTGTACACGTAATAATAAAATTTATATATAAAAGTAAACTACTCTAAAACTTATTTTAAACCTCGTTATAAAAAATATAGATGGGATAAATTTTTTTTAATAAAGTTTAAATACGAAAGTGAACTACTTCAAACTATTCTCTTTAGATTTTTGCCGTAAATAATTTAGATGGGACGCTCGTAGTTTTACTTTCCCAGGCGGCTATCCCATTTTCAATGGTTTTTTCATTTTACCTACTAAATTTCCGCTACACTTGGTTACACGTGACCGGAGCTTTTTTTGTTATTGCAGGATTGGTCATTACAATCGGTAAGTATAAACTGATTGGCCGTATGTTTTATAATTATTTTTATAAATTAGAAATTACTATACAAAATTAATAAAAATTTAAATAATCTTTATTACTTTATAGAATACTTGAATTTAATATTTAACTAAATTTTACGTATAAAATTTACTTTATACATTATAAAAATTCTTTTGTTTGTAATGGAAAAGAATGTATAAATATTGGATTGTGCTAAAGATATTATAAACAAATTATATAAATAGATAAAGCTATTTATAATAAAAAATTCAAATTGAAGACATTTTTTTTTGGTAGATAATATAAAAAAATGAAAACTTTTTTAATAAAAAAAATTCCAGTTAATAAATAATTTACATTTTATAGTAAATTATTTTTTTTAATAACAATTTTACAGTAAATTATTTTTCATGGCAGTACCAGTAATATAAAATATTAAATGTTTAAAAAACTTTTTCAAATTTTATATAATGCTAAATTCCCCTGTTTATAAAGATACCTATAAAATAAAAATATAGAAACGCAGATTTATTTTTTTATAGAACAAGTTTGTTTAAGCAAAATTGCAGCTCGTTGATTGGTCAATAATAATATCAGTTTTGTCTATTGGTCAATTTTACTATTATTTAGTCCACTAATTTTTCTTGTAATATCATTGAAATTTTAATGAATTTAGTCCGCAGCTTCTTTTTATTATTACTAATAACTTTTTTTTTAAAATACCTCCAACGAAGCTCCTCAAATGGTGACCGGCCTCGTCAATCATCATCATTTTTAGTAATATTAAAAAAGCTTTTATTAACTCTTCGTTAAAACTAACTCAGTTGGGTCCTTTGTTGGGTTCTATCATGTATTCCAATGACACTATCAGCAATTTATAAAGAAAAGGCCAGCCTTTTTAATTTTTTAATATAATAAGAAAAAAATTTTCAATCTAAAAGATCCTCGCTGCGAATTTTATAGACCCGATTTACTTTAACGGCTGGATTTCTCTTTGGCAGTTCATAGTATTAAAAAAAAATTTATATTATTTTATTAAAAGATTTATAATTATAATTTCTTCATTATTTTTTTATTAGAAATAATATATCTTATCTTATAACCCTAAAAATATTCATGTTGACGCAGTTTTCGATTCCGCTCTGCATTCCTGCAGCTTATGCTTCTGGCCAAGATGTCTGGCATATTCCCGCCATGCTAAAAAACGGCTGGCTTTGCTATTTAGGCAATAATGAACTTTTTTTTAAATACCAAATTGTTTTAGTGGTATATAAAAAATATCCTCGTGGAAAATTTAGGATTAAATTTATTTGTGCGTTTATAAAATATTCATTCGGTTACTTTCTTAATATTATTGTTAGGCTACTTTTCACATTTACTTTAGAAACTTATGTTTATGCTTAAAAAAATAATTTTGTAAAAATTAAAGTTAATTTTTATTCGTGCATTATAAAAACCTTTACTGCTTACTTTCTTAATATAAACTTTATGCCACTTTTATGAATTTATTGTACTAATTTATGCATATACTTTAATATTATAAATAAAATTTCATGAATTATAATTATAAACATCAATCGCCGTTTTTTGCAAATATTTATATTATTTTATAATGAATAATATTTTTTATAATTTTTTATTTATAAATTTTAAATTAAGAAAAAATTAAATTTAAATTAATTTTTTCCTTTTTCTCTATTAAACTTTTTGTATTGTAAATTATTTTTGGTGTATTAAAATTTTATAACATTTTTTTATCCAAAAAAAATATTTTTTTGTAAATAATTATTATTTTATTATTTCATATTTTCTTTAATGCATTGGAACTCTACAACAAATTTTGTGAACCGATAATTTTTATTGGTCTAAAATTTTTTATTTAAAAAAAATAATTTTCAATATTTTTATTTTCTATTCGTTTTTTTCATAAATTTTATTATGCACTAAAAAAATTGTGACTTAAAATTTTTAATTTTTTTGTGTATCGGAAACTTTAGAATTTTTATTTTTATTTTTTTAATATTTTATTATTGTTGTAAATATGTTTATTTATTAGCGTAGGAATAATTTTTTTAAAAAAAAGTAAATAGAATAGTTTGTTTTCTATAATTTTCTATTAATTTTTTTTTATAATTTAATAATTTAATATTGATTTGTTTACTTTTTTTGTAATTTTTTTTTTTTTAAAAATAAATTATTATAATTTACAGGTATAGACTACTAAAAACTTTACTGAATTAGCAAATTTTGTTATCCTTAATACTTTATAAAAATTATACTTACCTTATTTTTTTTATTAATAATCTTTTTTATAGATAATATAATGATAAGCGAAAAACTATTTATAAAAATTTACTATAAAAACATTTTTAATTTTTTAATTAAAAAAATTTGAGAAGTGAATTTATATATGAAAACCATTAAAACCGATAAATTTTTACTATATATTCAAGGAATCAACCCCAGCCAATCCAAGGGCGTAAAAAAAGACGATTGCGCGAGTGCGCCTATCTACGTTAACGTCTATTTGGCTTTTAATATCGGATATAATATTTTTATTATGCTGATTTTAAAATTTGGTGCTTTTTTTATAATGAAATTTATATATATATATTTGCTATAAAAAACTATTTAAGCTTAATAATATATAATACATAAATTGCAAAGTTTATAAAAGTATGGGCAACTATAATAATATATCAAGTAAATTTTTAAAAAAAGGCTTATGTACAATTTTTAATTAAAAATAATAACAAATGAAACTTGTAAATATAAAGAAATGAAAAATTGTTTATTAAAAAATTTTAGTATAAAAAAATACATTGAATAAAGCTTATATAAAAGTAAATTAATAATATATTAATTATAATTTTTATAATTAATAAAAGAATAATAATTTATTATTTTATAGAGTAATTAATAAAACTTTTATTCACAATATTAATTATTTATAAAAAATAAAGAGAAACTTGAAAAATTTAATAAAGTTTATTCGTAACAACCACTACGTAATAGTTTTGCGCATTTACTTGTTTATTAACAATTCCAATATTATTTTTTTTAAAGAGTTAGTAAAGCTCATAAGTAACGTCTATTACGATAAAATTTTGTTAAATTAAATTTTAATTCTACCTTACATTAATCGGTAGAAAGTTAACATTTATAATAGTTATGGCCCACTTAAGCAATTCCATAAAGCTTTCCTAAGTAACGTCATTCCATTATATTTTGTTGCAATACTTATTCTTTTTTTATAGTGAAGTTAATAGAAGTTTATTAACATTTCAACAATATTAAATTTTTTTTTAACAATTTAATAAAGCTTATAAGTAATGTCCATTTGAAAAATCTTTGCGACACAAGTTTGTACTTATTAAATACATAAAATAGATAGTAGTTCGCTTACTAACGATTATAATATGGAATAATTATCTTTTACTAAACATTTTAACTAAGCCTATGTGTAACATCCATTCCGATATAACATAACCGCGTTTCTTTTTATTTCTTTATAAAGATGTAAAGTAGATGGTAAATTGCTTACTAACAATTTTAATTATAAAAATATAATCAATATTCTTCTACTAAACAATTCAATAAAGCTTATAAGTAATTTCCATTTCAATAAAACTTTTTGTCGCAATAAATTTTATTTAATAAATTGTATAAAGTAGATGGTATATTGTTTACTTTTATAATATAAAAAATAAATCTTACACAACAAACTAAAAAAAACTTTTAAGTAACACTCACAAAAAAGGCTCTGCCGATTTACTTTTTCTTTCGATGGCTGCTATTGTTCCTTTTGCTTCGATTGTCTTTTCGCTTCCGTTTGTCCCTGGGAACAAGTCGCCGACTCTTTGGGGTTTGATACTATTTTAATAAACTTCTATAGTTGTAGATTTTTGTAAACAGAAGTAAAAAAAATAAATTTCTAATTATTAATTAAAATAAAAAAAAAGTAGAATTTAGTAGGCATAAGCGATTTTTTAGGATAAACTAAAATCTTTAAAGTATTTATAATAATAAAATTTCTTAAAGAACAAAATTAAGTCATTGCTAATTTTTATAAACCCAACGAGCTCAAAAGATATATATTATATAAAAGTTTTAATAAATTTTGTAAAACTAAAGTAGTAAAAAAGTATTTTTTAAAGACTATTATTTTAAAAAAAAAAGGAGCCATTCTCTAATTTTGATTAATAATAATAAAAAAGAGTTAAAATTATCACAAAACTCAATAAGTTTATAAGCTATTAAAAATGTTTTATTAAGTTAAATAGTTTATAAAAAAAAAATTTTTGAATAATTATTAATAGATTAGTATCACTAGGAAAGTTAAAAAAATTAATAAAATTTTAAAAAATTATATTATAAAAAATAAAAAAATTTAAAATCAAAAAAGTTCATAAATTAAAAAGATTCTAAAAGTCAAAAAAGGAAAAAACTTGGCTTATATTTTGAACTAAAGCTTAAGTGTGAGTAAAACTTTCTAAAAATCTGTAAAAAAATTAAAAAATAAAAGGTTCCAAGTTTGCTAAATTCATCCTTTAAATTTTATATAATTTAAAAAGTTTTTTCGAGCAAATATTGCAAACACAAACAACTGCCGCTATTTTTATATGTGAATAAATCCAGAATAATTAAATTTTTTACGCGGAAAAAACTATTTTTAGGGGGCCTCGGTCTATTTTTTATAATTATTGGGCTCTTATTTTATCGGTTTCCCTTACTTTTTCAAACCATCTGGAAAAAAACTTTCCGTCGCACGACAACAGAAACACAAGCTGTAATAGCAGGGGAGCGTAAGGCTATTATGATTCTTGTTAACTTTATTTACTTTTCTTCTTTGATAACAATAGCGGATTAAAATTAATTTGACTTATAAGTTAACTGAGATTTCCAAAAAGAAAGATGAAATGTAGCAATAAGAATTTTTGAAGTTTATAATTTTTTATAATAAAAATTATTGGGTAGTTTATAATTTATCTTTTAATTTTTAAATAAGCCATCAATATTAAAAGAAAAACTTCGCTTTTCCAGCGGTTTATTATAATAAATTTATAAATAAAATAACAACACTTCAAAAACACACAAAGAGTACTATTAAAGAATAACTTTTTGTAAATATACTGTTAAAGTTTGCTATTCATAAATACTAATCCCTTTGAAAGTGTTAAGCTAGTTTTCAATTATAATCTATATTTTTACATTCTCTAGCTTTGGATAGTACGCCGCTGACTTCGCAACATACACGAAATAAAACTTACTGCAGTTTTTCTTCGCAATCCTTATGAATTGTGATTGTTTAGAGTAAATCGTTAACTTTACCACAATATATTAATAAAGTTTATTACCAAAATTATATAGTTAACGATTTAGTTTTACGCTATTTTTCAGTAAGCGCAGGAGACCGCAAACGGCAACTTATAAATATCAACGATTTGAGGAAAAACGAAGAAAAAAATTTTGAAGGACAACAAAAGAAAAGTTCAAGACAGCTTTGCTTAAAAAACCTGCAAGCAGTACTTAAAGTGTAAGAGAAGAGCATAGAAAATAAAATATATAATCTAAAATTTTTATATTGTTTTTGCTTTATAAATACGAACGCCATTTATTTAAATTTAAGGAAAGAAAAGCCACGAATGTCCAGAAAAAAGAAATATAATTTAATAAAAAGTAAATAATAGAGTACTATATTATATATATATATAAAATTATATATTACAAATATTATTAAAGTATTAGAAGATAAATATATATAATAATAAATGGCGCAAGGAAAAAGATAAAGGTTTATAATATAAAAACTAAAAAGTATTTATATCAACTACAAATATGAAAATGAGCCCTGACCCTTTTTCTTACATGAAGCTACTAACATAAAACAAAAATATCAAAACTTGGAAAATTTTGAAGTAGTCTAACAAAATGTTAATTTTTAGTAATAAATCTTTTATTTACGTCATTAACTGATTGATTGTTTAATAATATTGAAATCGGGTGTGTTTCTCAGTAAACATAACACCCCGTAAAGGATAATTTTAATAACAAATTCAGGCTTATCAAAAGAACGCATTTTTTTAAGCGTTTTTTATTTCTCAATCCTATAACCACATTATTTAGTAAAATAAGCACTTCTTAACTTATGTCCTTCCTAATAGATATATTGTAGAGAACTAAATCGGATTCAGCTTTATTCTTTATAGCTGATTTCATTCTACTTCCTTTTATAAGTCTACCTCTGGCTCTCTGGTATTTCAGCCTCCCCCCGCTTTTGTTTCTGGTCTCCTTGTAGCGTAAAACTCTGGTTCTTGTTTTCTTTGACTTCTTATTAACAAGTTAATTCTTAGCCATCTTTACTTTGTCACCCCCTGCAATACTTAAGTAACTTGTTCTATTCTTATTTTATTGAAATATTCTTTTTCTTTTGGGCACTTCGGTTTCAAGGTAGAAACAATACAAGAGCATGTAATTGAAAATAAATGTTTTTGGTACTTAAATTATGTGAATGACCAAAACTTTATAGCAGTTATCAACCAACGCATAGCCAGCAACGTGTTTACAAATTTCTTTTTTTTAACAAAGAATTAAAGTTTTACAAGTAAAATCAAAAAAAAATAAATGTAACGGTTGACTTTACAAAGAAACGCGCTTTTTGCCTAAAAGAAATTACTAAAGCACTGATGTCAATAATGGTTTAGTTAATTGATGATTTCATTCCTAATAAATAACTACCATTTGCTTATTATTTCTGTAGTAGGTTTGTTACTACAATTTTACTGTAAGTTTTAAAAAAATTAAACTTATTGCCTGCTTTACATTTTATTAATTAAGAAGTTCAATAGTGACAGCGTCAACTTAAAAAAGCTGCAGGATGAAGTTTTTAGTATTCAGAGATTAGAGTCAACGGAAATATCACCCCACTAACGTAAATCTGAATACAGCAATGCTGAATTACCAATCAATATGAAAAGTATGTAGAAATAAAAAATTTTAAACAATCTTACTTAGAACTTTTAAAAATTTAATCCTTAACAGAACAGGTATAGTAGCAACTGATATGCAAATGTAGCAAGTTTACCTCCACCCAGAAAAAATATTCTTTTACTAAGTTTGTGGTTTGCAGAGGGATCTATTTGCTTCTTTTACAAAAACGTAAAGAGGGGGTTACAAAAAACTTTCCTTTTTTAAACTCTTCATACAATAAAGTAAAATTTGGTAATAACGGGAAAGTATACTATGAAGCTCTCCGTAGTTTTTAATGAAATCTTATGTTTGAAAATTAACATTATTTGTAACAGCTCCAACACGAAATCCCTCTTTTTTTAAAGATACCACAGAATGTCTACAAAATGTAGATGCAGTGAAATTCAAGCTATTGCTAATAAAGTGTTTATTAAATATTACTGAATTAGTTAAAACAAACTTTCAGAGTTGTGCAACCGACAAAAAACAGTCGAAAAAATCTTAAGCTTTCAAGTTTGATTATTTAGTTACACGTTCGCTGACAAAACTGTACCGCTAAAACAACAGAGAAGCACAAACCGCAGACGACTAGAGCTTATAGTTTTTAGTTTTATTGGTGTAAAAAATAATTCGCTCATGATCCTACTTTATATGTGAGGTATTGGTCAAGCTTAAAAATATTTAAAAAATGGCGAAACCTAAATTGAAAAAAAAGATTCTATATATAATACCTTTCATACTTTACATTCAAACGATCTTCAATATCCTATTGTAAATATTACACCTTTAAGTTATTTTTTTATCTCTTTTTTTGAAAAACGTTACCCATTAGTATTTAGACCAAAAAGTAAAGCTTGTTTTAGAATTGGTGCGTTTAATTTCGGTTAAACGCAAAATTTTAATCCAACGACAAAATTTTTGAGGGCCAAAGACGTTAAAGTTGAGCCAATTTGGACACGAGCTCGGCGGAGCACAGTTATTGTTTATCATATTTTATTAGTAATGGTAAACGCGAAGGGAATTGCTGGCCAAGAAAACGAATGCAAAGATTATTTAGAAAAAAAACTCAAGTATTCTAAAAAGACGAAGAAAAAGAATAAAACTAAAGTTGGTAAGTTCTAACCAGTGAAATTCTATGTAATTTTTTTTAATAATGATAAACTTTACTTACTTCTCCATAAGTTTTCGGGATCTTTTTTTATAAATAATATATTAACAGTTATTAATAAATCCATCGATATTCAAACACTTAGATTTTACTTCTATATGGTACTTTGACAAAAAAATTATCCTTGTCCCGCTGGTAGCCGTCTTATGCTTTGTTAACACTTGGAATCACGAGTTTACTTTTGATGATTTGGTTGAACTTAATAATTTTTTTATAATAATATAGTAAAGTTTGTTTTTTACATTTAAACTCTACAAAATAAAATAATTTCAAAGTCCTTAAACTTTTTTCTGTTTAGGCGGCTATTCAAAAAAACAAAGATCTCCTCCCCGAAACTCCTCTATACAATATTTTTATTAATAACTACTGGGGTTCCCCTATTAAACATTTAAACGCGCATAAGTTTACTTTCTATAACTATTATTATTATTATTATTATTATTATTATTATTATTATTATTATTATTATTATTATTATTATTATTATTATTATTATTATTATTATTATTACTATTATTATTATTATTATTATTAACTAGATCCTACAGACCCATAACCACTCTAACTTTTAAAGCTAACTATTTACTAACCGGTTTGAATTCCTATTCCTACCATATTGGTGAGCTTGATAACAAATCTTTTTTTTACTTCAAAATTTTTCAATTTTTTCTTTACTAAGAAATAATATAAACAATAAATTATTTCACAATAACTAATTTATAATTTTTTTTTTTTACATAATATTTTTTTTACGTTAAATTTTTTTTTTAAATTCTAAATTTTTTCTAGGTAATATTATTTTCCACGCTATAAGTTCTTATCTCGCTTGTGTACTTTGCTTTACACTTTTTTATAATAAGAAGACTGCACTTCTCAGTGGTCTTCTTTTTGCCGTGCATCCTCTTCATTGCGACTCTGTTGCCAGGTGACCATTTTATACTTATTGCTTTATAGATTATAATCTAAACTTATTTTTAATTTTTAATTAAGTTAAAAATTAATTTTAAAAATTCTGTTCAAGTTTTTTAATTTATAATGTTATTTATATTTAACTTTTTAGTTATTTTTATCTTTCTACCTTTTTTCTGAGTTTACAGTTGTGTAACTTTTTTAAGTTAGTAAAGTACTTTATATTTTTTTTCGTCTTTAATAAATAAATTTAAACGCGTCTCACACTTTTTATCTTTTTAGAAAATTTAAATGAAAGTTTCAAAGTGGTTCTGTTTTTATATTGAAATTTAGTTTACATAATAAAAAAGATTATATAACAGGAAATATAAATCGATAGTGCCGTTTGCGCTTTATAATTATTTTAGTTTACTTTTACTTTTTTTTAAATTACTTGTAAATTTGCTTCACATAATTAATTAAATTCCATAAGCATTAGAATTTTCTGTTTTAAACTTTTCCAAATTTATATTATTTTCTTTATTGTTAATTTTTTTTCTTTATAATAATTGTAGACTTTTTAAATTTTTAAATTATTAATTTTAATTTATTTAATATATACGTTATTATTATGCTACTACTAATTCTGATATATTTTTAACTTCTTTCTATTTCATGGTTATTTATTTTATTTTACTTTATATTATTTTTTATATTTTTATTAAAAAGATAAAATTATGTGCCTATTGTTTATATATTTGTTAAATAAATATAATTTTTATTATTACATATTTTTATAATAAATAAATTTTATTACTATTATATACTATTTTTTATACTTTTATAATCAAATAATTATAATTATATATATTCTTAGTGCATTAGGAAGAGTCGATAAATTTTTTATGCTCCTAAAATATTTTTTAATAAACATTTTATTATTTTTATACACTTTTTTAATATTATTTTATGTTTTTTTTATTATTATAATATTTATTATTATTATATATTTTTTATATATTACAATATTTTATTATTGTAAAAATGTATATATTTAATATGTAAAAATTTTTTATTTAAAATTTTATATATTTTTTTTATAATAAACATTTTACATTCTTATTTCCTTTTTTTATATTAATAAGTAGAATTATTATTATTATATACACTTTTAGTGCAGTAGGAAGAGCCGATGTTTTAGGCGCGATCTTTTTTTGTCTGTCGTTAATATTTTTTCAGAAATCTGTTGGCTTCTTCCGTTCAAGCAATGCGAATCTCTACACTGCCGGCCGCACGAATTGGCTGCTTTTCGGTAATTTTTTTTTATAAATTACTTAACTTTACTATAAAAGTTTTCTTCACATAAATCTTTTATACATAATTTTACTCCAGTTTTATTTTTTTTCTTTTATTTTTTACAACCTTATTTGAATTATTAATGATTTTCGAGATGCGGAATTATTTAAAGCATAATTTTTTTTTTTAAATAGGAATTTCAATATTATTTTCTGTTATCGGCTTGTTATCTAAAGAACTTGCTTATGTGTCCGTTATTCTATTCGGCGTTTATGAGATCGCTGCTTTATATCGAGAGCGACGCATACACTTTTACGGCACACGGAAGATCAGGTTTGCATATTTTTATTAAAAAATATTTTTAAGAACTTATATTCATTTTTTTATTAAAAAAAAAAAGTTCTAAAAACAAAAAATAATATTCTAATGAAGTTTAAAATTTTTATATATAATATTAATATGATTTATACAGGATTTTACTATAATTGTTTACTAATATGTGCATTAAATAGTGTTCTTTACTGAATTAAATAATAATAAAAGGAAATGCAATATTTAATTATTAATTTATATATTATTAAAGATCTATACATAAACTTTTGTATTTGAAAAAGTTTGAGTGTGTCACACTTGAGCGGTGTGGTTTTTTTTTATTGAGTTTTATTATAAAAGTTACTTATTTACAAGTGTAAGTTTATTGGTTTAAAAACAGCCACTAGGAATAGTAATAAACTGGTTAAAGTTTTTATTATCTACAAAAATATATATTATAAGAGGTTTTTAGTTTGTTGCTGCGCAAAACTTTAATAAAAAATGTGGTATATAGTTTTTTTATTATATAAATAATTATATATTTTATACCACAATAATAATTTTAATAATTAAAAATATAAATGGAATAAGTTTTGCTTATGATGTTTGTTTATAGTAATTTATAAACACTTTTCTGCATTTTATAAAAAAATAATAAAAATTATGTAGCCTTGTAATTGCTGTGCGTTGTCTTTATCAACTCGTCTCTTCTCCGCTCTTCCCAGTCTTCGCCGTCCGTCAGGTACACATAGAAGCTTTTTGAATTTTATAGGTCCACTATAATTATTGTGATGGGTTAATTAACTTTTATTTATAGCAAATATATAATGAAAATGACGTACTTTACCGAAAATATATTTTTAGTAGTACTACTATAATAATAAAACAGAAAAAACTTTACTGTTCACTATAGAATAGTTAACCATTAAAGTTACATATTTATTAGCGTTTTAAAAAGTTGTTATAATAATAAAATAAATTTATAATTAATAATATTAAAAACTAAAAGCAATAATAAATTAATAAAACAATAAAAATAATAATTAAAAATAACTAAAAGAAAAAGTTAATAATAATGCTGTAATAAGCTAACGAACTTATTTTTCTGCTGCGTCACAATGTACGGCCGCTATTTGATTACCGGCGCCACACGCCAGTACATATTGTCTCACTTCAATTATATTTCCGAACTTCCAGATAAACTTGGAAGAGGTTTCCTTAGATTATTATTGTTATGATTATCATTATTAAAATTGTTATTGTTGTTATTACTACCGTTATTCCTATTATTATCATAGGATTATCAATTTCCTACTTCCATTTTCTTCACTGGTGGCCTCTTGTTTACCCCGTCAATTTATGCTGCGATGCCAGCTACAATTCGGTGTGTTTTCATTTATTTTGACAGCCTGCTTATCAATCCACGTGGCACTACACTGCCTGCCTTGTGCTTATCGTTCTTATAATTTACTATAGGTTGAGTTGGTCACCAGCCTTTACGATCCTCGTGTCTTCATTATCGTATTTTTTAACGTGTTCATGCTATTGGTTCTGCCATACAAGTTCCTCGTGACTGAACCGGATCATTCTGCTCCTTTATTGGTGTCTTATTTTATCGTAAGTTTTTTGTTGTAATTATTTTAGTGCGTGATAGTATATAAAAACGTTTATTGTAGAGCAGTGTAAGAAAATATAACAATAGTAATTAACAAAATATATTTCTTTATATAAATAAATTATGAAAAAATCCTACAATTTTAAAAAAACTAAATTAGATAATTTCAAAAGTATATGAATTATTAGAAATTTATATTACTTCTAACTTTTCTTTTTTCCATAAAATTATATATATAAGGGACTACTTCCATTCCTTCCATGCGCAAATTTATTTTGGTGGGCCGGGTTTGAGGTACTCCGCCTGTTTATTTTCGGACGTTGCATTTTAAGCATTGCACCACCAATCAGATTGCCGAGAGAATCATGTACATGCCGTCCTTTGGCTTTTGCTTTGTAGTGGGCCACTTTATTTCTCAAGCTCTTTTTGCTTATGTAAGTTGCTTTTATTTACTCTTCGTCTCTTCTTTCTTATTGAACGTTTTTATAAAAATAGGCTAATCCCGAATCGCCTAAGAAGTCTTCACAGAAACGCAATAAAAAGGCGTTATTCTCCGCTTACGCCGCCGTGGCTTGTCTGCTGCTGGTCTTGGCAGGGAGAACCATCCGCAGGAACATGGACTGGGCAAACTGTCCAACCTATCCTTTGACTCTTTCTACTTCATTGCTTACCAATAAACTTTCTTCTAGCGTTAACCTTGTGGGAGTCTGCGATAAAAGTATACCCCAACAATACCAAAGCTCACTATAATTATGCTAACGAGCTTATCCTATTGGGTTCGTATATAGTGTTTATGTTTTTTGGTTATTATATATTAAGTTCGGTGTTTACATAACTTTTTAGGCGATCATGCTTCACGAGAGAAAGCGCTGGAGCACTATAATAAGTGTTTTTCTGTGCGATATGATGGATTCTACACTATGAACTATGGAAAGGCGCTTCTTTTAATGGGTTTTCTTTATAATCATTATTATTATTCTTTTGATTATTGACGTTCTTATATAAACTTTTAATGCTATTAATTAATATATTGATGTTATTAATATTCTACTGAAGGGCACGTAAAAGAAGCAGAAGAAATATTTTGGCGCGGTATTTTTAGCCTTTTAACTTTTTTAAAAAAAGTTTTGAATAGACTATAAATAGGCATAAACGAACCACTTCGCGCACTCGACGGCACGCCAGTTCATCAAGATTATCTCTACAACGCTCTGGGAGAGTTGTACATAGCCCAGCAGAAGTGGGAAAAGGTGTGGCGTCCTGTTAATTATTATTATTATTATTATTATTATTATTATTATTATTATTATTATTATTATTATTATTATTATTATTATTATTATTATTATTATTTAGGCAAGAGAATGTTTTAAAGGAGCAGCTTTATATCTTATGTCCCCTTATAAGCTACCTGAAAATTTTCTTTTAACCCTGAATCCAACTTTTAAGAATGTTAAATAAATTATTTTATTACTATAGTTATTATTATTATTATTATTATTATTATTATTATTATTATTATTATTATTAAATGTTATAACTATTATTATTATATATACAGCTCCGCCTTTACACGATAGTCAATGAAAATACCACCAATTTCAAATCGAAACTTTTAAAAATTGACGAATGTCATCGCATTTTATATATATATATATATATAAAATAATGTATTTTTGAACTCATACCTTTTGTAGTGCTCAGTAATAACTATCCTGAAAGAGAGTTAAGCGAAGGGCAGTTAATGTTTAGAAACCATAATGTTTCCAACGCACTCAACTGGTTATTTATTTTATTTATTTATGTATTTATTATTATTATTACTATTAATCATTATATGTATATTTGATCATAACCTAAACTTTTAATTTTTTTCTTTCTTTTAGCAAATTTACTTATCATAAGTTTTTATATGTATACTTTAGGTACGCTGACGCACTTTTAAAGTATCCAGGACATAAAATTTTAATGTTTGAAACTGCTATACTTTTTTATATAAATAAAAAGTTTGACGATGCACTGTATCTGCTCTGCAACTTTATTAAACTTGAGAAATTTGTATTTTTTTCTGGTGTTAATAATAATTATTAGTTTTGAATTATAAACTGCAGTATAGAATATATATAATTTTCATTTCTAATAATTAATAATTACTTAAGTACTATAAATATTAATATTTAATTACTTTTTATTTTTGCTTTGTCAAGCCTTAATATAAAAATAACTCACTTTTTTATAAATAAAAAGTGTATAAAAAAGCCAAGTAACTTTAAATATTAATTTTGTAAAGTAAACGCACATAGAGAGTTTGTCTATTAAAAAAATATTCACAAATCACCTTAACCTACACTTTTTTTTCGCAGCACTCTGATGCTTACAGCCTTATGGGCTCAATGCTTCAGGAACAAAAGAGAACCACAGATGCGCTCGTCATGGCAAACTTATTAAATAACCTTAAAGGTTTTTGTATTTTTTTAAAATATTAAAGTAAAATATCTTTCATTTTATATATAAAAAATTATTTTTGTTTATTATTATAGTAAAGTTAACCGTAAGTAAAATATCCGTAATGCATACTTTTTAGAATAAAAAGAAAAGTTACGTCAGGAGTTATAAAGTTTAATAATATATTTATTAACTCAAAATTATGTAAACTGAAATAAATCTTTAACAGAATTTAGTATAGAAGGTACTATTTATTTTTTGCTTAAATAAGTTACCTGAGCGCTTTAAGTTGTCTAAATTCTTTGTGCTGATAATATGTTACAACTAATTAATTCCAGCTAAAAGCTTAGTTTGGTACAAGTTCGGCTATTTAGTAATCAGCTATAAAGGAAGCGCTGGGATTTTACTAATATAAATTGTATATTCAATAATAATATTTTTCTTTTTAGATTTTATGCATATAACTCTAATATTCTTTTAAATTATCGTAAGTATCTTAATTAATGAAAGAAAAAACGAAATAACTTATATACTTGATATTCACTAAAAATACGTTCATATATTTTGCTTCCTTCCGGACCAATAATGTTTGTCTTGAAAACTTTAATAAATTAAAGAAGTGTTGAACTTGTTTTTATGCCCCAACTTTTTTTTTTCCCGCCTTTACCGCTTTAAAAAGTGATTCTATAATGACTCTCGTGCTATGAACGTGTTACTATTTAGTGGAGAGTTCAGTTTTATGTAGTTAATTTTTTCAATGAAAATTTAGATTGTGTTGCACATTCTACTGGGAAGTATTTATAACTTAGGCGATTACGAATACTATTTTACATAATTGTTTATAAAAAATCTACAAAATTTTATTATTTTATTTAAAGAATTTTTTTTTCCACTTTATAGATTACGAGAAAAATATCGCTATTTTGGAAGCAGCTCGACTTGAGGCTAACCGGCATTAAATTAAAAGTTTTTTTTTTAAATAAACATTATATAAGCAAACAGGTTTTAAAAAGCTAATTATTTATTCTATTAAAGTTCACTATCCAAATCCAGTTCTTAGAAACACTTTATTTAATTATTAACTATGGTAGTTGTAGGTGTCCTCTAAGTAAAGTTGGTTGATCAAACTTTTTTTATACTAAAAAAATTACTTTCAAAATAAATTTATTCATAAAAAATTAAATTTAGAGGATTGCCGTAAAAAATTTTACTATCCACTTATATTGGTTATGGTATCGGCCAGAAAAGTCTAAACGTCCACACAATTTTTTTTTAATGATATTACTGCTTTGGAAATTACTTTAATTTAAAACTTTTATACTAATTGATAAAGGCGAACTAATTAGTGTAGCCCATGTCAAAATTCTTTATCACAGCTATATTAGTACTTTTTGTATAAGATTTATAAATAGTACTCGCCAGCTAGATAAAATCTTGATATAATAAAATATTGAGTAGTACTTTCATTAATTATTTTTTAGTAAACAAATAATAATTTACAGTTATGAAAATTTTATATTTGTTTAGTAAGTTAAAAGCAACAACGCTCTGAAAGAAAATCTTTTCGGTGTAAAAGTTAATATTATAATATTAATTACAAAAAAATTTAAAGTTATTAAATTTAGTAAATCTTTTTATAAAGAAAAATGCTATATTCCGGGTTAAAATTGTAATTTTTAAAATTAATAACTTTGTTAAAATGTATATAACGTAAGTTTATTTTTTATATCATCTTTTATACTTTTTAAACTTGTCATTAAGTTAAAGTACTCTTCAAATTTATAGTTTTATAGTAAACATTAGCAATTAAAATAAAGAAACTGTTAACTTCAAAAGAGCCAATTAAATTCGGTAGTACGCTCATACCAAGTAGTGTTGCCGTGATAATTATTTGGGAGCCACACAATTTTTGCTGGGTAAATAAATCCGCAAAGATATAAATTAATTTATCTATATCTGAAGAATTTAAAGTTATATTTCTAATACTTGTAAAGCTTGTACAATGAAAGCCCTTTATAAGTGATAAAAAGCTAAATTTCTTTAGAAAACAAGAAAGCTAAATAAAATTTAAATTAATTTATTTTTTGAGTATTCTTTAGGACCATACAAGTTCTGCTCGGTAAGTAAATCTGCCACAATGTAAATATTTTATCTGTTATTGTAGATTTACATGCATGCTTTAAATACTTGAAAAGAATAAAGTCGTCCGTGCAAACCGATTTGAACTGTACTGTAAAGGTATTCCTTGTCGATCCGGGTAAAGCCATAAAACGCTTCATCATCTGAAGTAAAGATTACCTTATAGCTGTTTTTATATAAACGTTAGTTAATGATCTTGCGTTGCCAAAGAAGTATATTCGTTTTTAATCGTTATTAATATTTCGTGTGTTACTAAAAACGTTAAGTTACGCACGTTCCAGAATACTCCAGCCCAATACGGTAATTTTCAAAACTTTTGTAAGGATGAAAATTGAAAATAAAAACAAGTTGGGCCCGCTCAAATACTGTTACGAAGTAATATTATAATTAAGAAAACGTTATAATCTGAGGAAGTACAAAGTAAACTTGACGTAAAAAGAATTGCTTAAAAAATACAACAGCATCGAATATTAAGCAACAATGCATATGAATATATAAGTTTAGTTACTAATAATAAACACAGCCCCTCACACTCTGTAGGCCCCAACTTACCAATAACTTTATCGTCCTCGTGGGCTAGACTAACGTAAGCTTGAGGAGAGAGAAGCCAAGGATGGTTGACTTCCAAATGGTGCATAGCAATATCAAAGTTGTTGAGGTCTTAATAGTATTATAAAGTAACATTACTACTACTTAAAAACTTAAAAAAGTATCTATTTAATATTTGTTATACATACAAAGTTTATTTTATTCGTTAAGTAACCACTTGGATAATCGCAAAAATTGCTATAAAATTGATCACTAACATTGATATAACAAGCAATTGTCGAATAAGAGATTCCACTGGCGTCTAGCGTAGTGGAAGCTTTCATTATTTCCGACTCTTGGAAAATCTAACCACTCTGGGTGTCCCCATTCATTCCCAATAAAATTTAAATAAGCTTCTCCTTAAAAAAGAGATTTAAAAAACTATTATATTTACAAAAAAAAAAGTTCCGAGTAAATTTATTTACTACCTGCAAGTGTGTAAGTTAAAAATCTGATCATTTTGTGCAAAGCGATGCCCCGATCTATAATTAGTGACCGCTTGCAAAATTTTGACATGTTAGTATACCTTTTGCAAGAAAGAAATAGTTGATAATGGCGAGATACAATTTATAAGATCGAAAGAACTTGATTTTTTTTATAACTTAAAACAAGATAAATCTACTGTATTATTTCGTTCTCATAATTTGTTTTAATAAATTTTAAGTTAAAGATAAAAGAGTCTTTTGTTAAAAGACTATAATTAGCACAAAAAATTCCAAAAGTACAAACAAAAAAGAATTTTCTTATTATAATTAGTAGTTTTATATATATTTAATTACTATTTTAAAATAATCTATAACTACTTATTATGATTTCTTAAAAGTAAACTTTTTATTTTTTACATTTCTTTATCCATTAGCCAGAAGGCCAATGTTTTGTCTCCTACTAGCGCCTGGTCGTGACTTTCGCAATAACAAACTGTTTTTTCTTTATAACGGCGATTAGTCAATGTGTGCACCTACAGAATAAATACTCTTTTTTTTGGAGGAAAGTAAAATAATTGACGCTCACAATGTTTCCCATATTCCAATCTTCATCTTTGTTTTCTTTAAGCAGTTGGATCCACTTGTCTGGGACAGCCATGGCCATACGATAATCAAACCCCAATCCCCCTTCCTCCACCGGTCTGCAAAGAGCGGGTATCCCTGAAACATCCTCTGCAATAGTGATAACCTTAACGAAATCCAAAATTAGCCTACACTTATCCCTACTACTAAAAAAACTATATAAATTTATACTAGTGGATAAACTTCATGAAGCATTGCGTTAGCTAACATCAGGTATACCACCGCCTCTTCATCGACAGACTCGCCAAAATACTCATGATAATCACCACTAAAGCTGTACCCCAAAAGTACCGCGTGGAGTTAAATAAATTAATATATAAGCGGTGGACATGGACTAGGTTGCGCTTTAACACTAGCCTAGATCTACGGTACAGCGGTGCGCTACCACCCTGTTGGGAGCTCGTGAGAAGTTTGTCTTTTATTTTTTGGCATTCTTGAGTGAAGTAAATACTTTTAATGAAAAAAATTAAAAAAAAAAAAACCCAAATCCAATGCCATGATGCTTATAAAGCATAGAAGTTACACCGTCAAATCTGAAACCATCAAACTATTTTCAAACAATTAAACATAACAAATGGGAAAATAAATGAGCCTTCTCTTGATAATTACCATAAACTCATCCATCCACCATCTTAAGTTAGAGAGAAGAAACCTTAGAACTTCCCAGTGGCCGTAGTTAAAAAGGCGACTGTCCCATAAAGAATGAACTCCCTTCGGGCCTAGAGTTATTAATTAGAGTTCGCTGCTGGCCGAAATTAGCGTAGATCTTTTATGTGGTTGGAAAAAAAAGAAGTCTCCCCTTTTTTAGCAGAGGAGTATAGTATTATAGAGAAGTTTAAATTATTTTGAAAAAATTGTGCACCGCCTAATTTAACATTCTACAAAAATTTGATTTGACAGGTTTCTTATAAAATCCACAAAAAATATTCCTCGTGCTTCGTTTGTATAAAGAAAAATTTTTTCTCTTACTCTATTTCCTCTAGACACTTTCTTGAATATTGAATTGCTAACGAACTTTTATAATCAATGCTCTTTTAAAATATATTGAAAACCTTTAATAATTTAACGTTTAAGAAATTTATTTCCTACCATTTTATAATTATTTATTTTTATTTCTGAACAATTTTAACTTCCACCATCATATACAATTTCAATATAAGCTTTGTTATTACTACTAAATTTAAGTAAAATGCTAATCATATTAATATTAAACTTATCGTTTCTAAAAAATTTCATTTTCTATTTTTATAACTTTATTGGTGTTATATGTTTTATGTTTCTAAATACTAAAAGTTCATATAAAAATTGCTCATCCGAATTGTGTAGACAAAAAAATCTTTATATTCTTTATAACTAAAGGCGCCGGGAAATATTATATTAGTGTGGAGTGGATTATATACTTTTGTATAATTTACTTAAAAAACTCGCATCAAAAACAACGCTGATTTTAAAATTTACTTTAATAAAATTAATACTTTATTAAAAATTTTAATAAATTTGTGAAATACGTATTTCTCTAAATTGTAATTTCTTTAAGCGTTTAAGATTTTTTAACTTAAAAAGTATTCTTAATCAATCCTTCACTATGTAGTTTAAATTTTTTTTATAATTACTTTAACAAGTGCGAATTTGTAAAATAGATTTTTAAAGAGTTTCTGATTAAAATAATAAGCTGAATTGCAGATAATAGAATTTGTAATGTTTTCTTTAACAGTTGTCAAAGGATCTAAATTCATATAGCTCTACGTAGGAGCGTAACTAAGGAAAAATGCTGAACAGCTTAAATTTTAAAATAAAATTAAAAAATTTGTTAATTTATAATAATATAACGCTTAAAATACGTTAACTTTTGTAAATCACCCAAAAATTACACTTTTAAGCACTTTCAGTTTTTTTCTCATTAAAAATGGAAAATTTACTATAATTTTATATGTTAAATAATAAAAGCATTTAAAATATGTAAAATAATGAAAATTTACAATTAAAAATAGTTAAGAATATCTGAATAATAAAATTTAAAATTTCATTGAAACTACAAAAGAATAAAATATATAATAAATTGTAATGCGTATAAAAATAACCTTCATGGAAATAACAATAATCACTTCCATCAAACATATTCAGCCCATCTTCGACATTCTTGGAGGCATGGCTGTGCACCTGCAAGCATTATTACTTATTATTAATATAATTAACTTTTTCTTTATTTTTATTATACTAAAAGCAAAAAAAAAAAAAATTAAAACCAAATCCAAAAGTACAATAATTCCATTTTCATGAGCGGTATCCTTTAAAAAAATAATATTTGCGTAAATAAATGAGATAGAATTTTATTAACAATTAGTTTTTTTAAATCTTCAGGAGTTCCAAAGCGAGAAGAAGGAGCAAAGAAATTTGTGACTTGGTAACCAAAAGAACCTTTTTTAGAAAAAATTAAATACAAAAATATATTTGTGCAAAGACGTTAATTGTAAAATTAGAATTTATAATTTATCAAACAGCAAAAAAATTTTAAAGTTTGTTAAGTAAAAGATTTTTTAATAAAGGTTTTAATAATTTAGAAATTTAAAAACACCATAATAGGCATGCTCCAAGATGGCCATAAGTTGGATTGCATTGTAGCCATTCTTCTTTATATGCGGTACAATGTAATCAGTAAAGTACTCGTAGCTATTACAAATAAACTTATTTATTTAAAACGTAAATTCTATAACTATAAAAAAAGTTGCTGAGTACAAATTGGTAATCAGTAAAGTACTCGTAGCTATTACAAATAAACTTATGTATTTAAAAAGTAAATTCTATAATTATAAAAAAAAGTTTCTGAGTATAAATTGGTAATACTGTATATTTATAACCGGAAATATTTTAAAAAAAAAGTTTTCCTGAAAGTTTCTAATGGTTTTAAGTTGGCTTTAAGCTTATTTCAAAACCAAAAAGCTTAAGCTCGAACACCGCAATTATAGTATTAACAAATATAAAGAGCTGGTTTCATTTTTTTATTTTATGTTGAAACTTGTAAATAAAGGAAAAGCAAAATATATAAAATAATTCAGCGACTAAGGAAAAGAGGAACGAGCTTGAATAATGAGAAAACTTCGCTTACGTAGCAATGCGTGGCTCTGGAGAGCAAATACCAACATGAGCTTCATAAATTCGAAGTCCTCCAGTAATAGTCGGCCGTGCATTTTTGAACTGGTACGCATTAGGAGGATCGTAGTACACACCTAGTTTATACTTTTTTTTTTAAATGTTTTCTTTATTGCTTTAAGTTTCAGTTGCTTAAAAAATAAAGTTTAAATGGAATGCTCTATTTTTATATGAAAGCTAATATATGAAATGCAGTGTTAATATAGGAATAAAAATTAAATAGACCAGCATACTAAATGCATTTAAAAATAAAATTATATATAATGCTTTATTTTTATTTGTAAAAAATAATTATACTCTGATTATAGATAGCATGCTAAATATATTAAAAAAATAAAAGTTACTATATAACACTCTCTTTACGATTGTAAAAATTATATGTTAATATGATTACTAATATTGGTAGAAAATAAATCAATAGATCAGCATGCTAAATGTATTAAAAAAAATAAAAGTTATATAATATACTTTATTTTTAAAAAGTAGTTGTAAGACTTGATGGTCATGCTTAAATTATTTAAAAAATAAGTTTTAAATAATGCTCTATATTTAATTGGAAAAATGAAGTATATGCGAGTATTAATATATTGGACGAATAATTAGTCACTAGATCAGCATGCTATATTTGGAAGTGTCACCAGAAAAAATGGTTTCGTTTCTGTTTTGCCTTGCATATCTTATCCATGCTGGAATGCGATATTTCCAGTCACCACTTGTACTTTGAAAAATAAATTTAACATTGGATAAATGCAAAGGGCCCTGTAAGAGTAGTTAAGTAATAAGTAAAAATAAATTTGGCTTTATATGAATTTCATTTACAGTGTCTTTTGATATTGTAACCTCCCAAACCCCATATTCGTTTGATTGCATTGGATTTGCTTCACGATCCCAATTATCTTTGATAAAAACCTTTACACCGCCGGATTTAAAATTTATATTAAATACTTACTAAAGTCTCCCACCAGACTAGCTTTTTTGGCGCAAGGAGCCCATTCTCGATAGGTTATAAAATTTCCGCACCTAAAAGTTCAAGTCAAAAATAATTACCCTAAATGATATGGAGTTTTTGAAAATAACTTTCTAAAACCGAATTTCTTATAGCCCATAGAGAAGCTACCTAGAGAACCTTCAATGAGTTCAATATTTTTCCGTATTAACCAATACTTTGCATAACTACAGTAGAGTGCAAATTAAGTGTGTTAAGAAATTATAAAAATTATAAACTTACTTGGAACAAATGTAATCGCTAAACGGAGTGAGGAATGGATCTAAAGCTAGAAGGTTTTTAAATTTAGGAGGTTCTGGTACATTAACCTCACTCATTGAATAATCACTATACTGCCAGGGTAAGGAGATCAGTTAAATATATTATTGGTAACTGAATTAAGAAATCTGCTCTTTTGGTAAAATGAAGATATAATAAAAAATATAAAACTAATTCTAGTTCACTAGTTTATTAAATAAATACAATATATAAACCAAATTTTACAGTAATAAAATTTTAAAATTATTTCTTGGGTAGCGAGTGCGTTCGTTGCCTCGCCTGCTTTTTGAGTAAATATCTTATAAACGGTATTTGTAGGGAATTACTCTTAAGCGGTTAAAATTAAAAAAAAGCCCCCGAAAGCTTTCTATAGACCTAATTATCCCATTTTAGTGTTAACTTTTTGTAAGTTGCTAGTAAAATGCAATATGTAATACTTGGCAGAAAATTGGCAAAAATAAAAAATTACAGTGGTCTCCAGGAAGAATATAAAGGAAAAAAATAAAGCTAAGGCTCGTAAACATTGTAGACAGTCAAATAACAAGTTCGTTTCTTAGCTTATATTTTTAAAGATATTTTTTTTTTGGCTTTTAATGAAGAACCTTGTTAACTAATCAATTAACGTTATGCTATACCCTTCAGCGTTTACGCATTAAATTTTAAAAAAGTTATCAAAACAAACTATTTTTAAAATTTTTGAATCTATTGGAAACTACTAAGATTCTAATTAGACGGTTAAACACAAACCTAGTAAAATGTTTAATAAGTTGAATAGTACAATAAAAATTAAAGTAAAGAAAGTACGCAAATACATATAAACAGCGACTCACAATATCTTTCTAAAAATGGTTTTTTGGGTTCCACCTCTATAACATTTACGGAAGTTCCTTATATTACTGCTGTTTTAAGATCAATCCATTAAAAAATATATATTAGCGATATTTGATATTAACTTAACAAAGTCACTTAATAAAAAGTATAAAAATTGCTTTTTTTTTCAAAGTTTTGTGTCTATTTTTAATTAAGCAAAGAATAAACCTAAAAGTATTTTTACTGTATAATATTAATGTGTCAAATGTAAACTGTTCAAAAGTTTTTTTTACAACTGAAATTGTACACCAGTTTAATTGTTTACCAAAAAAACAAACTCAGACTTCTTGTATAGTAGTTAAGTCATCTAAAACTTTATATAATTTAATTTATAATAAGATAATTTGTATAAATATTCATTTTTGAATGCAGTATAATTTTAGTTTATTAGTTATTGTTCAAATCTCTTATTAGATTCACTATGAAAAATTAAAAAAGATTACTTTTTTATAAAAAGCTAACTTGTGCCGCCAGTGCGCCGTAAAATTATAAATAACAATCTATTATTATATTTTTAATGCTAAGGAAGCTATACCATACTTTCTAGTAAAAATAGTATATAGCTAACACAACTTTAAAAAAACACTATTTCATTTAAGTCGGGCTAGAAGAAAAGTTAACCAAAAAAAAAATTAAATAAAATGCTGAGAAAAAGCTCCATTAAATTATTTACTGGAGACGCTTTAACAGATAGTAAAGGTAACGTTATTTTTATGAAAATACGGTGTTATCTTTTAAACCTTAAAGGAAAAAATTATTTTATCGCTATATTACAGACAAATAACAAGATCAGGAGAGTACAAAACAGAACAACGCAGAGCGAAAATAAAAAGAGGGCATTACCTATATTAAAAGAGGAGTCTCAACAAAACTTAAAGATTGAGACAAAGCAAAATTGGCTTACAACTTCTAAATTTGGGCTAATGAGCTAGTTATTAATTAATTTATATGATAGTTGCTTAAAAACTTATCTTACTAACCTTAGCTATAAATCCGAGTTAATGCTCTTTCGACTAGTAAACTCATAACTAATAGATCTTTTTATTAGTCTTGGAAACTATCTATCAATGTCTATTAGCCCCGGGCCTAAGATCTGTAACACTCGCAGTTACTAGGAATAAGAATTAAAACAAAACGTTCATGGCTCTTGTGCTGAAGAGCTTCGGGTTAGTACCGAAAGTAAATGCAAGTTTTAAGGGCACATCATCACAACCCTTACACTACCTAATAATACCTTGACGGTTATGAAAAACGAAGAATTCAATTAAAGGTATAACGTAGCGGATCAAAGTCCGTCATGGAAGCTCTAGTGCAGGTAAGCACTAAGGCAAGGTTAAAATGTATAAAGAAGGAATGTTAAGTAAAGTTAAGAATTTAGATCAAGGTGTTCATTACTTGCTACGCTGCCATATCAACGAAAATGATATTTGGCACCATCATGTTAAAAGAGCTTTTTGGTAAAAATGCAATTTTAACGCAAGCGAGGAAGAAAATGGGATATAGCGGTGCTTAGTAGTAAAAAGAGGTGAATATTAGTAGAATATTTGCTTTTTACGACAATTTAAAAATTGTAGCTAACGACAAACTTGTTTTTACTTAAAAGTATAAAACTTTGTTTCACCATATATTTAGTGGTAAAGTGATTATATAAAGAAATACAGGGATAATATATTAACCTATAAAATTGGAGCTGACATGTTCTTAAAAGCAAGATTTCGATTTTGTTACACGTCATCTTTTAGGGGTTCTAAAATGGTCAGAGAAGAATAAAAAATACATTCTCTACGAAACCCAAGTGAATCTGTTTTAGGGAAGAGTAAATCTTTTATTTACAACACTTAGTAAGCAAGCGAAGATTTATTAACCAAGTTTCGTGAACTTGGCTGATCCCGCTAAGGTTCCCTAAATATAATTAAAAACCAATAAAATCTTTATTCTTGTCGCAGTAATTTTTTTTATTCTTTTAGTCTATTAATTCTTGATGCAATAACGGATTTCAGCGTAGATTTTTGTGTTGTTTTGATAGCATGGGAAATAAAAGAATAAAGTTTTCGTGTACTCTTCCCTAACTATTAAACCCTTCTTCATCAACTTCGGGTGCGCTTGTTTCGTTAGCACGCAGAAGTCGTTAAATATTTACCGAAATAATATAAAAATATATCTTGAACAATTTAAAACACTGTATCGTCTTTGATAAGTATCAGTTTTTATTGTGTTACCTTGTTTTTTGTTTATATGTTCTTGTTCTCTAGCTTTTAAAACCTTTTTGATTGTTTTATTGTTACTTTTAATTCTCTGTTATCTTCATAGAATATATTAAGGTAAGCGAACGGATAACTTAACTTTACTATCTTTACATATATATAAGATTAATACCAAAGTTGTAATTCC